CATTCTTTGCCCTTCTTTGTTTCGTATTTTGTCTTCACTTCCTTGTAAAATAAGAAGCCCCTTAACTCTTGTATATTTTTTTATGAAAATCATCCTTCTATTGATTCTACCAGGCAAATTTCTATTTCATGAGAAATGAACGCGATTCCGAAATCTGAATTACATTTTCAGAAAACTTATATAGAACTATCTAATTTCATATCTTGAAGATCTGAAATTTCGATCTTCCATACCAAGCACCGGACAAACCGCCAAGAACCCAGAAAATCCGGAAGACCCGACAGACCCGGAGTCGGGTAACCCTGGAGCACGAACCCGATTACCCGGAAGACCCGAATCACGGGAAGGAACCTGGAACCGGAACCCGTGCAGCTGGAACGCACAGAACACGGATATCACAGAGCCCAAACCCGAATCGCAGGAAAACCCGGAGTTTGGAACACACCCCATGGCGGAAGAAAAAGGATATCCCCATTCTCCTATGAATGACGGTGGTTTGACACAATGGCTATGCAGAACAAGGAACAAAGTGAACACCTGATAGCCTGATAGTAATCTCGGCAAGGTAGTTCCTCAAGAATTGTTCCGCAAGCAGCTAATCAGCTAATACTTGCAGTGGTTTGATAAGATTAAGGACTTATGTTCATGTACACTGGCCTACCGTCTTTCCAGTTTTATCCCACCAGTCAACTTGGCGAAGGTTGCGTGCGCCGGCTCCTTCCTTATCCGTGTACACCTGCGCGCAGCGGCTCGGGTTAGGCTTTGGCAGATACGATAAAGCCCCCGCTACATGCTACGTGGGATTTCTGTATAAGTTGTGTCCCTGATTTAAGGGTCCTTACGTTAAGGACCAGTATAGACATCATTCCATTTTAGGGCCCGACTTTCTGAAACTCTGACTTCCATACAGCACACACAAACACAACTCCCGCTTGTGTCTCTTTTTTTTTTCTCTCTCTCTCTCTCTCTCTCTCTCTCTCTCTCTCTCTCTCCCACCCCTCGATATGTATATACTTATATACACAACCAACATACTTTATACGTGCATACATACATGCTTATAACTTGCACAGACACACAGAGACGCTGAGACACAGAGCGCAAAGACACAGAGACGCGGAAACAGAGACGCAGAGACGCGGAGACACAGAGACACACGCACTCTCAGAGGGACCACGCAAACAACCCCTAATCATAGTGTAGGGGCCTCAAACATTTGACGGGGGCTTTGGGTTATAAGATACGAAAACTTTTCTAGGGAACTTTAGAGAAGCAGTTATGCCAACGCACTACTGCTGCGGCTGCTGCGCAGAATACTAGCAGTACACATACTACTAGTACCACAGCGGCATGCGGCTGTTGCTACTGTTGCCACTACTACTAGCTCTTGAAACGTCCCCTACGACTCGAACGACACCACAAACCACAAACACTACTACCACTGGCAGAGAAGGGTGCGTGTGAAGGCTAGTCTCGGCCTAAGCCCTAAACCCTAAATAACCAAATGGCTCCTAAACCCTAAACCTTGGCATGGTCTCCGAGTGGCCTGGAAACTCACCCGGTCTTTTCTCGTGGGCACGTACTCGTCGGCAAGGTCCGTCGTGCGAAAGTAGAGCCCGCGACGCCTTTAAGGTGTCATGAGCTCAGGTTTAGGGTTTGGGGTTTCGGGTTGAGGGTTTAAAAACTAGAGATTCATGGTGTGGCTCAGGTTTGGGGTAGAACATCATCCGTGCTCTGATCGAAAGCGGTCTGGGCTTACATACCCAGAGACTCCAACATCCCTTAAATAAGGAATATACCTTGAACCATACAAGGGATCCTACTTTAATCTAAGGTATAATTAAGGGATATTGGAGTCTCTGGGCAGGCTAGAAGGCACCCGGAAGTCACAATGACAGCACACTATTTTATAATGAGAGAAGCCTTGGCGCTAAGGGCTGGATTTTGATGCCATTTGGGAATTCCGAAAATAGGGGGGGTACCTTATTTTGGGGTCCTTATGATAAGGATCCTACTATTTAGGGTGCTATACGAGGGTCCCCCATTTTCGGAAACTCCATTTGGGTAGCTGTTAAAATTAGGGTCCCCTTTTTGGGGTCCCTATTATAGTACAGCACCTAATATTTAGGGTATCCAAAAAGGGACCATAATTTTGACAACTACCCATTTAGGTCTTGGGATAGGAATTCGCAAGACGGCCTTGGGGTTGAGGTCTCAGGATACCGTGGGGGAGCTAGGGCTTGGTTTTAACACTGCAGGATTCGAATTCGAACAGCGCGCCATGAAACGCCATAACCGGAAACCCTTAGAGCCAAAGCACGTGTTCTTGTGGACTGCGCTCTGCACTTCGCGTGGCAGACGATCGACCTTGTCTGCACTGTTGTGACATGACTAGCAATCAGCTTGTTGCAATTCCCTATATCTGACTCCTGAGACAAACACATGTACTGGCATTCCTTTTGGGCCCATTGGACCAGGGAGAATGTACTTCGAACCCTCAGACATCGACGTAACACCCCACTCCAACACATTAGGTTAGGGAGGGGTGGTCTTAACAATTAAGGTTTGGGGTTCTGTGATATAGCAAGAAGGAGGAGCACCTAAGGAATAGTATCCGCCTGAGGATTTATCCACTTATTCAGGCTTCTAATTACAGTATACCATCACATATTCGGAAGCGGTACCAGCAAACCAACACAAACCCGAACCCGCAGCCCTGCTAGCTAAGCTACATCGTAGACCCCTGCCCCTGCCTAGTAACCCCACTCCCTTCATAAGGATGGTAGTAGGTATCTATAGGTATTCAAGCCCGTGAAGCAAGATGGCTAATCGGCCCAAGGCTAAGCTTTACAGAAACTATGATGGTAGCATGTAGCGGCTTGATGTTGGGGTTTAGGGTTAAGCACTTTGGGGAAGGTCTGGCTGAACTTGGCTTACGTCCCACACCCGGTGATTAATTTCTACGGCTTCTGAAAATCAGATGGACTGTGATGTACCCTATATAGGTGTCCTTATACAGAGGATGTCACTTTAAGCCCCGAACCTTAATTAACCTGCATACCGGAAACCTTTATGCCACTTAACCCCTCGACCCCGAATCCGGAATGGAGGCAGGCCCCTACATTCAGGACAAAAATGTGAATAATCCCTCATCCGCTCATACAGTGGATCACGTGTATTGTTTTGGCATTCATACTCGTTCGGTGGTTCAACCTTCACAGCCCAGATGCATCATCGGGGCGGACATATCCGAATCCGTCTTCCTCCAAAGCGGCTAAGACATCTTGAGCTAGCAGTCCTGTTTAGATGCTGTGCAGAGTTCGATGTGGCTCTCATATCGAGTTTGACAGACGGTGTTTTATGGGGTTACATGACTTAGCATTAAGGATCTCTGTTCTCCGCAAACCAGCGTGGTACACGCTATGGGCTTCTTAGGGTGGGTGTAAAGAGACTTGGTGAGTGTGTTCCCGCACTTAGGCTTTCTGGGACGCGGCTCCCACTATCTTGCGGTGCTTGCATTGAGTTCCACTACATTGGTCCCGGCATAGAGGGAAGTGGCTGCGCTGCTGCATCCGGCCAGTAGATAGTGCAGCAATACTGAATTCCGCCAGCACATGAAGGAAGGCATGGTGGGAGTGGTGTCCATCACCCCACTGCACCCCACTAAAGCCGAATCAAGGGTTGTTTACGATTTCAAAACTCTGGACGCTCAACCTTTGTAAGTTTCGCGTTTGTTTCACCACGAAAGTCCGAAAAGCCTACACTTGCCACTTGAAGTTTTAGTGTTTTGGGTTCCGGGATCATCACTGCTTAGGATTTTATGTGTGACAACACCCCGCACACTCCTTCATACCTTTACCTAAGCCCCAGGTTGATTTGTTTGAGGGTAGAGGGTTTGGATCGTCGGGAACCTGAGGCGCGACAGTCCTTGCGGTACACCTGAACCACACCGTAGAAGTAACCATCCATCTCGTGACGGTTCCTGAAGACTGAGGTGCCGAGGTCTCTTGGTTGCAACAAAGGCTGCCACAACAGAACGAACAAAAACAGTGATCCTACTGTTGATGATAAAAATCCTGCATGACCCATAATAAGGAACATACCAGAATTCCCGTATATTCCTTATTATGGGTAATGCAGGATTTATATCATCAACCGTAGTAACAATTGTCATAACTGAGTCAATAGTAACAATAATACAGTAGGAGTGACTCAAGACCTCCAGGGGAAGTGCCCGAATGCTCATGCTCGGCAGGTAAGCTCGGTACGGTGACGAGAATTTTGGCTGCAGCCATCCTTCTATAGGACCACAATGGAGTTGCCCAGAATGCCACTTAGTACACCATAAAAGAAGCAAGACAAGCCGAAGCAAGTCCAAACAACGAACCTCCAACATCTACCGGGCATTCCAGTGGATTGGGCCTAGAGCTCTAAAGGTTTAGACTAAGGTTCAAGATTTATGCGGTTTAGGGTTTGGGACTGAGCTCAGCTGGTCTTGCAACGACGCATTCGGGAGCAGAAGTTAAGTACTTGAGGGCTCGAACCCAAAACCTGCCCACCACAAAAACCCAAACCCGGCGAGCTGCACATGTCTACACAGAGCGTGAAGGCTTGGTTGCCTGGCCGTTAAACTTCGCACCCTTAGCGCTCAAACTTTAATCGAAAACAATGACATAACGACAATATCACCACTCCACTACCTGGAAACTACAAGATTGCATAGTTCGACAACACTTGTCAAGGAACATTTTTGCGGCTAGAAACATAGTCTTCAGTGGGGATGCTGAAGCCTGCGAAACTTGTATCTGTTCAAGTACGTACATGTGACCCTAGGTGTTGGGCAGGGGTTGGCTCGACCTAGTAGTTTAGGGTCTGGGGTTTAGCGCGTGAGGCCTAGGGCGTGGATTCCGATGTGTATATGATTTACATATCTGTTCATATTATATATATATATATACATACATACGCACAAGTGCTGGGCTCAGGGCATTACAGGTCTTGGGGTGAGTGGTTCTGGACCGGAATTTCGCCAGGGCTCTCCGAGAGAAGCTTGCGGGTGTAGTACACTTCAGGAGTGTCGCGAAACATTTTGCCTTTGCCGCGGCCTCACCGATCAGGCCAAAGGTTTCCAAGGCTCAGTGTGTCGAGTTTATGCAGGTTCCGATGTTCGGGTGTTATCGGTTTAGGGTTTAGGGTTAAATGGCTGAGATGCAATTCTTGAATCCAATTGTGATTGGTTGCATATGCTTGGAGAGCTGACGCTGCCATTCATGCTATTGCCAATACAGCCTTTGCTGAACAAACTGAAGAGTCTGATGCTCTTAACTCCGAGCAGTGATGTCACTTATGGGATAGGGCCTCAGCCCGCACCCCAAACCAAACCCTTAACCCTACTGGCACGTATTATTATAAGGACCTAAAACGGGACCCTAATTTTGACAACCACCCATATGTTCATAGTATGATATTGTTATAGTAGGGCCCGGCGCGGGGCTGTTGTGGGTGGTGACTGGGCTCCTAGTGTTACCAGTACCGAATTTTCAAAGCCCGGAAACATATGAAGACCTTAACAACTAGAATCGGGTTTTACTGCCTAATATGACGTAACTATACTCAGGAATCCTCAAACATGCATTCCAATTGTTGAGACCCTTGTCCATGCATGTCTTGGTACGGTGGGCTTCGGGATGTTGAGCTTCGTAGTCCGGGATACGTGAGATGGTCGCATGATTTGCAAGCAGCATGTCGACAGTGACTTGAACAAGGCTCAGCGGGCGACGAAGCTTCAGTGATACGGGCGTCAGACAGGCCTGATCTGACATGATATTGTCAAGAGATTGTTCCTGTAGGTGCTGCAGACATTAACAGGGACTTATTTAACATGCTGATCATTGGGGTAGGTTTGGTGCTTATCATTTAGGTACCCTTTTTGTGTCGTGTCTGAATCTGCACCTGGGTGGTTACGATTGTTTATTGCTTGGTCCGATCCCAAAGTTCAGAACGACATCAGCTTTAGGCAAAGAGTCAAACCCAGTGCCGGCTTATCAAATCTTGTCAAGCCCGCTGGTTAGTTGTGTGCGGGGCAAGGCGAACAGGCACAAATTGGGCAAATATTGGACTGAGGACCCTGACCGCAGCCATTCCCAGAATGATAAAGACATGATACCCCGAATCCGAAACGATAGAGAAATGATAACAAAGCACGATACCCAGAATCCGGGAAAGATAAAATTTGATAAAGAAACGAAGCACCAAGTTCGGAAGGACGAGAAATGATTGAAACAAAGACAAATACGTGATAAAAATGAAAACACCATCAACGAATGATCAACACGATAATGCAATGATTACAGTCCAGAAAAGGTGCAATCCCTCCTGTTTTGGAAGGTTGCTGCGGACCGGGCCCCGTCCCGCCCCCCCGCCCTGCCCGGTGGCCGGTCCGGGGCCCACACTTTGAGAGTGGACCAAAGCCTGAAGTCTCTTCCAAACAGCTTGCAACCTTGAATGGTTTTGGGCATCTTTGTGCTGTTGACAGCAGTTCAGATTTTTCTGCTTACTCTTCCCCGCTCACAGGAGGAGCCACTTGCCACTGCGGGCGCAGAGCTCAGTTTCCGGAGTTCTTCTTCTTCTTGTCCTTCTTATCCTTCGCCTTTCTTCTTCGCCTTCTTCGCCGTCGTCGCCTTCTTGGCCTTCTTCGCCTTCGCCTTTCTCTTCTTGTAGTCGCTCGAGGTCGAGGATGACGATGACGACGATGACGGCGGCACCGCCACCGCCATCCCAGCATCCTTCATGATTCGCTCCGCCGCTCTGACCGCCGCAGCATTCGGCTTGCCACCACTTTTGGCGGCTGCGACCTGCACCTGGGATCGCTGAGCCGCAAAAAAAACTATATATATATATATATATATATGTTTAAAGCTAGATTACTAACAAACCTGGCTTGAGGAGAAATTCATCTGCTCAAGTCGAGCTGCCACCGCCGCGTCGTGCATGGTCGGCGAAAGCTTTTTTCTGATCAGACTGGCAAAAGAAAACCACTCCTTTCACCCCCTATCCAATCCTATAACCTACTTCGTCTACTTTCCAAATCCACCCTCAAGCCCAATCCCAATCCTTCAAATAACCAAAATGCACCGAGCGAATTTAGGCCAGCCGCAAGCTGGCCACGATTCCAGCCCTCCAGTCTGACCTCCTCGTTCTTTTGCCTGGGCCATCGATTCCTGCCTCAGAGTTGAAGAAGGCATTGGGCATTGGGTTAAATTAAAATCTCAAGGGTTTCAGTGCAGGATAAGGTCCATGAATGTCAAGTGGCCACATTTTTTGAGCGAAAGTCACAAGGCCAGCCACAGCAGAATCCGTCGATGGACTCGCCGACGTGGAGCTCATGCACTCCGGCTCGAACCCCGAAACCAAGAAAAGGAGCGATCATGCAAGCCACGTGGCACAACGACAGGGGAAGATTGCTGAGGCTGCTGAGGTGGATGCCACGGCCTTGCACTGTCCGATCGCAACGATAAACTGAATTGAAACTGAAGCGAAAAAAGAGTACCCAATGCATCCAAGAAACTGCGGATTGAAGGGCTGGCGTCGATCAAAGAAGGACTGAAGAGGAGTGCCACCCTGACCCGGGGAAGCAGTCTTGGGAGCTGCTGGAGCGCCAACTTTGGCTGGACAGGAAGTCTTGGTGCAGGAGCGCCAGTTGTGGCTGGAGAAGACGTCTTGGGACCTGCCGGAGCGCCGGTTTTGGCTGGAGAGGAAGTCTTGGGAGCTGCTGGAGCGCCGGTTTCGGCTGGCACGTTCTTGGGCGGGTTCTGGGGCGGTTGCGGAAGCTTCGCCTCGGGAGGATGAGCAGGCTGAGCGAATGGCGGGGCTTTGCTCCAGGACGACGCGATCGACTCGGACTTCGCTTTCGCGGCTGCCATTTCCCGCCTGGGTTGCTATGGGAACCATAGTCAGGAGTTAAGAAGTTTCACAAATTGCCTGCCACCTAGTCGCTGCTTCTTCAGCGCGAAAATCTGGGTCGCCGCCTTTAGCCCATGTCTGTCCAAACAGCGCTGCCATTCACTGCCAAGGCCTTTTTTTGACCATGCGGCAGGGCCCACCGTGTTCGCTTCGTCTTTTGTCCGGAAGGACAGCGCTGATAAACAAATGATAAAGCCATGATAAACAATAAACCAAGATGAGAAAGAAACGACAAAAGACAGGGCAAAAAAGACTAGGGGCTGGTTTCCAATCTGCACAGACCAAAAAAATATCCTAATGATACCGCTGCTTCTTAACCGCAAAACCCAAACACTCAAGCCTCGTGCCTTTGCCACCTTTGTGTCCGGCCGGCTTTGCCGTCGGCGGATGCGGCTTGTTGCCCAGAAAGTCGCCCCAACTCCAACCATCAGAAGCCTGAAAAGCTACTTGGAGGTTCAGGGGTAGTTATAAGTGGGGTTATAAGTCCCCTAGTATGGGGTTATGAGTATTCTCACCCTCCTTATAACCCTATACTCATAACTACCCGTGAATCTCCAAGTGCTACTGCAGGCTTCGGGGAGAGCTTCGACTGCATAGTTGTGCACTATCCTAGGGGAACTAAGTACAGGTTTACCTTGGGGAAACGGTTTAGGGATTATAGTAATTACCCCAAACAGGATAAAGGTTGCGCGAGGCCTACTACAAGTATATACTGGCCGGGATTTAGGATTTCGAGATTAGGCTTCTGGGAAGCCGGGAAAGCCAGGCCCGCAGGAATGGGTCGCTGGGTGCGCGAAATTTTGGCAGCCTGGCCCGAACTCAGAAATCTACATCCTTTAATGGCTGCTACTGTGCTAGTGTAACCAGCACTATCTATATGCCATTACTATTATTATGATGGCTCGACTAGTTCTCTCTGCTACTGTCATCCTAGCGGTCCAAGTGCCTGATCAGCATATACTCCCCAAATACTTGCCTCCAGTTCTCCCGAGCATCAGTACCAAACTCTGAAGTATACTCACAATCTGATATTTGTAAACCCCCTTTGAGCCCAACAAGCCTCTTACGTGACACTTTGGGCCCGATCGGGTCAGTCTAGAGAAATAACCCTAAACCCTAAACCCAAGACCCTAAACCCTAAACCCTAATCCCTAAACCCCTAAACCCCTAAACCCTGGGAATCCGAACTATCGGTCGAGGGTTCAGGGTTTAGGGCGGGGCGAACAAAGCTTAGGGTTTAGGGTTTTAGGGTTTTAGGGTTTAGGGTTTAGGGTTTTAGGGTTTTAGGGTTTAGGGTTTAGGGTTTAGGGTTTAGGGTTTAGGGTTCAGGGTTTAGGATTTAGGGTGTAGGGTTTAAGGGCGAACAAAGCTTAGGCTTGGTGACACAGTCCGTGGCCAAGTCCCCGTCTAGAAGAGTGCCAAGCGAGACCGCCCAAAGTAGTATTCCAGCCCCCAGATTCCAACAACAAAAGCTGGACACCGCACAAGCCTGGTGGCAATGTTATGCCATGCAAAAATCCAAGCCTGAAACATAAACCCTAAACCCCAAACCCTGAGCCCTAAATCCCAAGCCCTAAATCCTAAACCCCGAGCACTGAACCCTAATTACCATCTCAACCCTAAACTCTAAGCCCAAAGCCCGAAGCCCTGAACCTTGTAAGTGGAGAGCTCAGACTCGAACAGGTTAACCCAAGATGCAAATATATCAAGAAGACACCTGAACGGTAAGGGACTTTAGGTTGCTGTTAGAGGTTTAATGAGGGCAAAGGTTTCAGGTCTCGGATCGGTAGTTACAAATAAACTAACGGAGGTGCGGCAGAGACACAGGATTCTCGGCAGTTCGTTCAGGCTCACCTGGGCTTTTCCAAGTAGGGTCACCTGGGTCACCTGTGGAGGTCCGGATTAGACCAGAAGCGGCCGAGTCACAGACAGTAGTCGCAATAGCAAACGGAGAGCATTGGAAGGTACACAAGAGCGAGTATCCATCATGGACATGACTAGCTAGAAAGAAACCCTGAACCCTAAAATTCTTCTACTCGAAACCTTAAAATGAACACGGCCTCATGTACTAGAGCTGTCAACCTGGACTTTCTGTCCAGACAAGCTTGAACTTGCGCTGAAAGTTGCTTGTCCACTCTGTCCAATCCGCCGGCACGGCAGTAGACGCATGGTCCTTGACCTACGCAATGGCAACACGCAAGGGGCAAATAATTTCAGAACTCAGTATTGCATTCGGTTTTTGGGCTTGGCATGATGTGGGCATCTTCATGCACGAAGAAACTCAGCAACCCACACATACAAGATCCCGTAGCATCACACGAGGCTCGCAATCGAAAGGTTAGTCCCATGAATATACTAATACAGGAGTTTCAGAAAATAGGGGACCCTAATGTAGTACCCTAAATAGTAGGATCCTTATTCCTAATGTGTCTTTGATCAAGCATGAATATGCCATGAATAGCTGCGTAGTGTAAAGAACAGAACCTAAAGGGTTTAGGGACGGTTTAGGTAAGGACCCCAAAACAAAGTACCCCAGTACCCTAATTTTCGGAAACTCCCCAAACCCTTAACCCTTTATAGGATCCTTATAGATCCCTGTAAGGAACCCTTAAAGGATTTCTTTAAAGGTGCCCCCTAATTCTCTCAAACTCCCAATACACCACAGCTATGGCCACCTTTGGAACACCATTGCCAACCCTGTACATCAACCCACAAAGGCAATTAACCGACCAAAACCGGTTGAAGGGTTTAGGGTTTGATTAGGGTTTAGGGTTTAGGGTTTTTGAAACCCTTGATGGCCCTGAAAACCTGTTGCAAGAGCCGTTGAAAGCCCCATATAGAGCAGTATCAGAGTTGCACCTGATCTCTGTTGTCCAGCCAGGCAGCAGCGCGGCTGACATGTTCGCCTGCTTTCCGGTTTCTTGCGTTGAGTGGTTCACGGTTTTAAAAATTTAGGGCATAGGTTTCGCATGTTCAGAGGCCACGGCGCCTAGCAGTGAGGTTCTGATGTAGAGCTGAGGCCTCAGACTTCCCCGAAGTACCCCTGACGCGACAGCTCCCGAACCTGAATCACTATAATACTATACAATATATGTTGCGCCTTAACTCCAGCCTACAAGTTGCCATAAGCCGTTATACTCGAAACCTTGCGCAAAGCCTGATGTTGCCCTAAACCCTTAACGCCTAAACCCTCAACCCCTAAATGCAAATAAAACAACACTCAACCTACAGAGTTGTCTTGGAGCCATCTCTGGTGGGCTAAGTTTGTGTTGTCCAGGTTGCTGGACCCTAACAGCTGCCGCGGCCAGGTGTCAAGCTTCTACCTTGCTCCGTAAGAGAACTATCTAAACCGAATCTTCAGGAATTTGAGCCGAATCTACGAACCCGAGCAAATATGTGATGGAAGCCTTTTCCAGCTGCTTCCTCGCTTTCTGCTGCGTGGTCTGCCGTCTCCTAGAAACGTGGCGAATCACGGATGTGTTTGGCGAGCGAAGAAGCTTGGCATTGGGGATGTTTTTTGTTTTATGGGCTCTTTTCCGTCTGCAAAGCGTCCGAAACCCCAACAGTTGAGGGAGCCTGTGGGCCCAACCCTGAGACAACTGAGAAACCAGAGTTTTTATTAGGCATTGGGGATTCGACTCCAGAGTTCTGGGGATAACGCGTCTATCGCTCAACAAGCTGACCCTGTGCCACAAACGGGGCAATCATTCAAGGCGGGGCCCTAGCACTTAACAAGCGATATGTAGTAGCATACTGACTGTAAGGGAGTACAAGGGGATAGTGTTCCTAACTATACAGGCTTCTGTATTACCTTCGCATGCTTTCACTTCTGTCTTGCTCCGTCTCATCTCGACCCCACGACTGCCCCCGCAACCCCACATACCCCAAACACCACCCCAATCGGAGCTTAGGGTCTGACCATTGTTGGGACAGAGCTCTATTATAGCGGCCTTAACAATCAGACTAGGGTCTTGGATGGTTTTGGGGTATAGTATACTATAATCAGAAAAAAGAACCCCCCCACAATAGTATTGGTGTTTATTTGGGCCCCTGTAGTATGTGGTTTGGGTGCTTCTGCCCATGAACTGCTCCTATGCCTTTGACCTTCCCTGTCTCCTCCGTGAGCCGAAGGAGTTCGGGGTCAACTGAAACGATTTGAACAGCCGCGTTGCCCGCTGCAATCTTTTCCTGAGCTGAAGATTTTAGGAATTGGGGCTTTGGGTTTTGGGTCTGGGGTTTACAGGCTTACGGTTAGGGGTTTTGGCCAGATCCAGCTGTTGAGGCGCAGCGCCTCCAAATCCCAAGACCTAAACCTTAAACCCGATACTATAGACCCGAACCTATATGCCCTGTGAAAACCTGGTGCCCTATTATATACCTTATACTTTGAATTCGTCGAAGCGATCTTGGTGCCTGTAAATTAGGGGCCTGAATAATTCACAACAATGTTCCTGTAGGGGCTTCCTTAGAGGGTTCTGTAAGGGTTCTAGCAGAGGGGCCTTAATAACTTAATAGTTGGAACACAGGGTCTTGGGGTATACTACAATACCAATGCAAGTTTATTATGGAGTCCTCTCTCTGAATAGCCATCTAAGTTCCCATGATAGCGAACTGGGGAGAAGATCGCATCGCACAAGGCTCACCGGACATTCTGGCACATGGTGACCAACAACTGAATGTGGACAATCATCTGCTGTTGATTAGTCTGCTGCATACGTTTCCTGCACATCAAGCTTCGGCAGAATTGAAATCGCAGCTGGCCATATCTTCGTGCAGATATCAAGCTGACTCATGTGCTGCCAACACTCTTTACGTAATCTCAGGTGCTATGCTTACGATGAAGAAGCCCTGATCCGTAGACTGCACAGTCTAAGTCCATGTCTCAGGTCAAAGCTGGATATCTTGAGCCAAACCCTAGACCCCTTACCCCTAAACCCGAGCCCCTAAACCCTAAACCCCAAAGCCCTAAGGGCCAGTAGTTCGAGCCCGAGCTGGGTGCTGCTCGGACGCCAAAGCCTCGTGGGCGGAGCGGTCGCTGCGTGCCAAAGCGACCACGGCCACGAAGTGGGCAGACGGAGCGTCGCGCTGGGCCTGACAAGATCTGGGAGCTTGCACAATTGGCTTCAAGATTAAACCCACTCAACTCTGAAGCAACTCGTATATCATGTATTATGTGGGTCTACATACATACACACATGCATACATGCATATGCATATGCAGTCATATGCATATAGATACATACATATATGTATATATATATATATAGGCAGTACCTATATGCACATGTGTGTATGCATATATAAATAAAAAATACATAGGTGTTATGAACAGACGAAACCCCAATGCAGAAACTCTTGCCACAAGGTGCAAGCTGTGCAGGTATATTGGAACCCAGGCATTTCAGAATTCAGGGCCTGTTGCTTTAAGGGAAACTCCCCTCATCCATCTGCTTAGATGCCTGGCGGCCCAAACTGGAGCTTGCTCAGAATACAGGAGGCACGTGGCAGGGAAACTGGTCATGTACGTATTCCATAACACCCCATAACACCCGTAAACCCCCTAAACCCCAAACCCTAAACCCTAAACCCCAAACCCTAAACCCTAAACCCTAAACCCTACACCCTAAACCCTAAACCCTAAACCCTATACCCTAAACCCTAAACCCTCAAGAGCAGGATAAATAGAAATTGTGTGATTTTCGTTTCGATTTGCAGTTGCAATAGTTTCAAATTTTCATCAAACGTGTCCAACCAAATTCCAGCCCAAGCCAGCCACAGCAGCCCAGCCCTGCAGCCGACCCGCCCAGCCCACCCAGCCCCCCAGCCCAGCCCCAGCCCCCACCAGCCAGCTCGGCCCAAAATGAAAACTTCAAGTCAAAAAACAAACCCTCCCAAAACTGTCGCTCAAAACTTTCGCCCAAAGCTTTCGGTCAAAACCCCGGAAAATTTCTAGCCACCAGCTGGGCGCTAGCCCAGCCACTATCAAAAGGACCCAAGAGCAGGACTTTCGGTCAACTCACCTAAACGGAACCCAAACCGCCAACCCCAGCCCCAGCCACAGCGCCGGCTGCAGCCAACCCCAACCCCAGCCCAGCCCACTCCCAGAATCAAAACACCAAAGTAAAAAACGAAACTTTCGCTCAAAACCCGCTCAAAACCCCGGACCCAAATCCTATACAATTTCTATAAACCCTAAACCCTAAACCCCGGTGGCAGCACTCACCAAGATTCAGGCTCCCACCTGTTTGGAAGATTCAGGCTTCCACCAGTTTGGGAAACCTGAGTCGTGCCACAATGCTAGCGTGAACACGAGGTGAAGCTAGCCAGGAGCGTAAGGTCCCGTGCTCTCTCCAGAACTACGGACCTAACGCAAGTTAAAGCTGCACATCTCGTGTAAGCCATGGCTCCTCAGGATTGGGGCCATACGGATGGCCGGCGCACCGGGACCTGTTTGGAGTCTCACTGAATAAAACCCCCATGCAGAGGTAAGCGCGAGACCGAGCCCCAAGTGCCCAGCCTGCACAAAGAAGACTAGCGACCTGAATGCGCAGTAAGGGGCCAGAGGCTGACAAGAGAGGCACACACACAGACGCGCACGCGCACACACACACACACACACACACACACACACACACACACACACACACACACACACACACACACACACACACACACACACACACACACACACACACACACACACACACACACACACACACACACACACACACACAACCACACACACACACACACACACACACACACACACACACACACACACACACACACACACACACACACACACACACACACACACACACACACACACACACACACACACACACACACACACACACACACACCCACACACACACACACACACACACACACACACACACACACACCCCCACACACACACACACACACACACACACACACACACACACACACACACACACACACACACACACACACACACACACACACACACACACACACATCAGGATGACTACCAAGGTTGGTCCAAAGAAGGTTGACTCTAGGGGCTTTGAAGGGCTCCAAAGAAGGTCGATCCTAGAGGGGCTTTAAACAGGGTTGATCCTAAAGGCTTCGAGGGGCTCCAAAGAGGGTTGATCCTAAAGGCTTCTTGAGGGGATCCAAAGAAAGCTCGCGGCCGTGTCGAGCGGGCTTTTAGAATCAATCGGCCGATGCGATGCCGCGCTCTCGCCGGGTGAGACTTCGTCCTGCCTGCTACCAGGGTGCTTGGGCCTGTCATCCTCTGCTGACGAGCTCGATCACGATGTGCGACGTGTGCCAGCGCTCGTGTCCACAGCCCGGATCTTCCGCTCTTTGCATGGCCTCGCCCAGGCTTAGGTGCCAATCCAGTATGATCTCGACGCCTTCGTCGTCCTCCTCGTCAGTGTCGTCTTCGCTCTCGCAGTGGCTGGCTGCTTCCATTGCCTCCAGCAGGTCTAGGATGTCGTTCACTTCGCTGTGGACGCCACGCTGCTCCATTGCTGGGTTTCTGGCGGGTGAGCCCTAGGGGGTCGGGAGTTTGCGTGAAATCCTCACAAGAGATCGGTTCGAGCCTACGTAGCGACAGTCGCCTTGCGGTCTTCTTATAGTGCAATGCGCCATGCCAGGCATGTGCACAACATGGTTGCCGACGCTGAGGCTTCGACACCAGGACAGCTCCATGTACAAGCCGTTGGCGGCCACTTCCTGCGGAGGCGGCTGGTATAGGCTTGCGGAGCCTCGATTGCGCAATCGAGCAGCCAGTGCTCATATGCATCCTGACATGCTGAGATGCGAGAACCTCTTATACAATCTAAGGTTGGGCAGCATGGCTCCTCCTGGACTTTCTTCAACTTTTCCTGGAAGGCCAGTACCTGATACAGGCGATCGACCAGTTCCTTGAACAAGGCTACCGTCAGCACCATCCTGAGAGGTAGTTTGCCGGACTGCCACTGTGGATCGGATTCGGTTTTGGTTTTGAAATTGACCGCCGTCTTGTAGAAATGATGCAGAGCTGAGTTCTCTCCGGCTTCATGAAGAGTATGAATGCTGTGTCCTGTCTCAGAACCTGCAGCTCCTCTTGTTGCTTGAGCACGGCCTTTGCTAAAGTGCAAACTAAGGGATCCCGGTTTTGACGTCGAGGAGGTGGCGGCCCGGTGTAGTATGCATCCTGAAATGGCGAGGTTGCCGGTTTGTGCATCCCGAAGGGTTCCCGACGACGCTTGTTAGTGAATGAGAAAGGATTGGGATGGCTGTGACCATTTGTTCTCAGACCTCCCGACATCTCCTCCATCTCCTGGCAGTCCCCGAAGAAATCCGCCACGTCCTGATCGAGCATCCTGATGGTGGGCACACATGAGTACACAGTGCCACAGAACAGTGCATTTAGCAAGATGCGCCTTCCAGTCCTTGGTTCGTCTTTGGCAGAATGGCACTTGACACTCGGTGTGGCAGTCTGAGCAGTGAGTTGCTGTGCTTTGTGCTGCAACGTGTTGTCGATGTCTTGTGGGTGTTCATGACTTCCTGTGAAGTAATCCACCGACCGCACAGAGCACAATGTTTTAGGAGTTGCTGTGTGATGCTGGAATGTTGGATGAAGCTGTTGAGTTTCTTCTCAAAGACACTCTGTACAAGGGCCTGTTGAACCAGTGATCCGCGTGGTGCATCTTCAAGTTCACTTGAAGCAGTCTGTTGCTCAACACACACATGGCTCCCTCTGGTGGCCGCTCATCTTTGTCTGCTGACGTGGCAACAGGCTGCTGGATGACCGACTTCTCTGCATGCCGGCAAGCTTCTTCGGTCACATCGTATATTGCTTTGACGGTAGCAGGACAAGAGTGATTATTCACATGTTGTTCAAGCGTCTGCCACCTGCGGAATTTTCGCAAGCATCCAACACACTGAGGTAATCCATGAAGAACATGCCGGGTTCGGTCGAAAATCTGTTGTGGGCTATCTATAATCTTACTTATGAGCTCGCCTAGCATGTACTTTCAAGTCTGCTGTTGTTCAGAACTGTTCCTCGCACACTGGGCATGCCCATGCAACCTGTTCGGCCTCGGACTTCGGCTCAGTATGCTGTGCAGTAGCCTGGAGACCATCCGCAATGACCTGATTCCACTCAGTATCTACCATCCAATCCTCGTGTTTCTCCAACTCGGGCTCCCGGCCGTGGGCCAGTTCCAGCAAGAAACACGCTGTCCTGATCTGGAATTTTGGCATGATTTCTTCATGAGTAGCGCCCGTGATGAAGGCTTGGTCCGACACAATGACTCGGGTGTGCTTCATGATGATCCTCGGAAGAAGTCAGATATGACCTGAAGAGAGTGAAGAAAATGCAGTGCACATAGCATTGTTGACAGCACACGACATATCTACAACTGAAGCTTGCACGCAATGAGCCTGCGCCAGCCCCAGTCCCAGCAGCCCCACCAGCCCCAGCAGCAGACCCCCACACTTTCGTTCAAAACGTTTCGTCAACAAGCTTCGGGGACTCAATTTCTATGATGGTTCGACCCCAGCCCAGCCCCAGCCCCCGCCCCAGCCCCAGGACGGTCAAAACGTCTCGCTCCAAAGTTTCGTTCAAAACGTTTCGCAGCCACCCAAGAAATTTGAAAACATGGTTCGAAGAAAAAAAACTTTAGCTCAAAACGTTTCGCCCAAAACGTTTCAGTCAAAACGGTTCGCCCAAAACGTTTCAGTCAAAACGTTTCGCCCAAAACGTTTCAGTCAAAACGTTTCGCCCAAAACGTTTTTGGGACCCAAACCCTTAACAATTTCTATAAACCCTAAACCCTAAACCCTATACCCTAAACCTTGAAGCCTTGAAGCCGAGGCTCCACAAATCTCGGTAAGAGTTCGAAGTTTTCGCGAAGCCGCAGGTGACTTCCGAGCCCTAAACTTCTAAAACCCTGAACCCCAAACCTTCTACCCCTAAACCTCTGAGCCCGTAAACTTTAGAGCCCTGAAGACTGTTTGAGGATGGAGTTTCTGCACTTCGGCTGCCTCTAGGAGCTCTTTTCGCTTCATGAGCTGTTCAATGGCATGATCCACACGCCTGCGAAAGGCTGCAGGGGACTGCCACGGCCCTGAAGCCTAAACCTGTCAAAGGCGTCTGAAGAATTTGACTAGGGTTCCGTGAACGGTATAAGGCTTCCTTGACAGGGTTCCAAAGGGGTCAGTATGGGGCGCGGATCAGTCAGTGTAGGGATCTTAACAACATGTAAGAAAGAGTTTTGAGTTATGGTAATACAGTGTAGTACACTATAAGTATATCTGGACTGTACAATCGGGATGCTAATTTAAACCGACAACACTAGCCGCTGAGGCCTTCTTCGGGTTGAAACCACCCTGACCTTGCAGCTTAGAGCAGCGCACACAAGCTTAAAACTCCTGAATATGCCAGTCCAAAAAGCCTTGAGGTGTTGAGGGATTGAATTAGGGTTTAGGGTTCCGCTGTGCCTTCCCTGGCATTGGAACCCCGAAAAGGCCTACCTTGCGCGGCACTTCATTTCAAAGAACACCAGTGAGTCGTAGTGACACATTCGCTCGCCTTGGGAGGGTTGGAGTCTCGCGAGGTCGGGATAATAGAGGGGTCGGGGTTTGCGTAGGGTTTAGAGTTTAGGGGTTTAGGGCTGTTTTCGGGTTTAGGGTTGATAGAAATTGTTAGGGGTTTGGCTGCCAAAGTCTTGAGCGAAACGGTTTCTTTTTGGAACCAGATTTCGAATTTGGGGCTGGCCTGGGCCTCGGGGTGGGCAGTTGGGGCTGGGGCTGGTTCAGGATGGACATAACACACAATATCTGTTTGTTTCGTTCTTGAGGGTTTAGCGTTCAGAATGTAGGGTGAAGTAATAGTAGTAGTAGTAGTAGTAGTAGTAGTAGTAGTAGTAGTAGTAGTAGTAGTAGTAGTAGTAGTAGTAGTAGTAGTGGTAGTAGTAGTAGTAGTAGAAGTAGTAGTAGGAGTAGTAGTAGGAGTAGTAGTAGTAGTAGTAGTAGTAGTAGTAGTAGTAGTAGTAGTAGTAGTAGTAGTACGCGCGTAGTGCATATTTGACGCTGCGTTTTCGTGCACTTGGCAGACAGAAAACACTGTAATTTGCGATGTATGCAGGACAGGGGGGGTCCTTGTCAGGGGAGCGGGGAAATTTGGATTATGTTGGTTGTCAGCAAGTGAATCAGCTCGGATCTAATTATATGCATTGTGCAAGAACAACAGGAAGTTTTTAACGGGGAGCCCGCACAAGGAGCGCAGTTCTGAGCCATGGCTCGCAAACTCGTCCGTGGGCGCAACAAGGGCAAGCAGCGTCTTCACCTGTGTGTTGCTTGTGGCAACACGGGGCACCGCGTGGAGACGTGTGGCACAGCGGCAGCTCAGTTGATCCGGCAGTTGCGAAGCAAGCTGGCGGATGCACTGCAGACAAAGGTTAAAGGTTTAGGTAAAAGTTTAGGGTGAAAGGTTTAGGGTTAAAGGTTGAGCGTAAAACCCGAAACTCCCCCCCCCAACCCACCAGCCCCAAGCCCCCCCCCACCCCCCCAAGCCAAGCCAAAGCCAAGCCAAAAATAAGTACTGAATATATATTCCAAGGCCCTCATGGAAACGCAAGGCGCTCATAGGAAATCCAAGGCCCTCATACGAATTCCAAGGCCTTCATACGAAATCCAAGGCCTCATCAGCTTGAACCTTCGATACCAGACACACCCACCGTCAACCTTGAAGCCCAAAACCCAAAGACATCCTCGCTCTGAGCCTGAAGCCCAAATCCGAAAGATAGAATTCTCTTAATTGAAGCTTTCCAGAATTCACCGTTCCCCAGAGAATTTGTAAAATTAGCTTAAAACTCGAGTTTTGGGCATGTGAAGTGAGGAAAAGCATAGCGTCAATTATGCACTACGCTCTTAGTAGTAGTAGTAGTAGTAGTAGTAGTAGTAGTAGTAGTAGTAGTAGTAGTAGTAGTAGTAGTAGGCACCCCCCACCCCTACCAACTACACTTGCTCTTAGCCATGTTAAGACGACATCCATTTTACTCGGTATTTACGGCACTTTCGTCATGTGAGATCATCATAATAGACCTCAAAATCGACTTGTCGAGTTTGCAAACTCGGGCTCTTGATTTTGGACTTGCTGGGTGGGGGGGGTGGGGGGGTGGGGGGGGATGATGACGACACTGTTACGCGAACAGACCCAACAGTATCACGACAAGAGCCCTTTTACTCGGTATTTACGGTACTTTCGTGTGATGTTGGTGATGAGATTTGTTTGATTTTTGGTGATGTTGGTGATGACATGTGCTGATGTTAGTGACGATGATGTTGACAGTATGACGAAGTGTAGTTGGTAGGGGTGGGGGGTGGCTAGTAGTAGTAGTAGTAGTAGTAGTAGTAGTAGTAGTAGTAGTAGTAGTAGTAGTAGTAGTAGTAGTAGTAGTAGTACCTCAGTTAAATATGCCATGCAAGCTCCAACCGACAGCCATTAGACCTGGTCTTGGATTGCTCATGAAGGGACCGCAGAATTAACAATGAATAGTTAATTAGGTACCTTTCATTTTGGGACCACAATACAAACAAAAACTCCTGATACCATCCCTGTGTTTCAGCCGGGATTCTGCGCTTGAAGAGCTCGAACAAGTCTGGCAGGAGCTTCGACGACGGCACCCCGCGCCGCAGCTTCATCACCAAATCGCCTGTGTTCTGCAGCTGCGGCCCTACATCCTAAGAACCCCTAAACCATAAACCCCTAAACCCTGAACCCTAAACCCTAACCCCTAAACCCTGAACCCTAAACCCCAAACCCTACATCCTCAACTCCGAAAGACCCGAGGTCTAGGCGGTTTAGGAGGAGTCTTTGAGTACAGCTCTGCTCTCATTGTCGCTGTGCCCTTGGGCTGCCTTCCTGCAAGAAGCTAGTGAACCGAGTCGATGCAAGCCTCAGAACCTATCTTTATATATATATATATATATATATATATATTTTTTTTTTCATATATAGGGGTCTCATCTCTTTTGGGCTTTCTGTCTAGGGTTTGTAAGACAACCCGAACCCTTCCCAAACCACACGGCAACCGCTCCCAGTCACAGTCGTGATGGATGCCGACGCCCTTCGGGGCCACCTGATGCTGTGCTCAGAGCTTTTGGGGTGAAGAGGCTCACTGAGCATTGCTAACGAACTCCGGAAACCCTATGGACCTGAACTCACATGGGTTGTTGTCAAAATTATGGTCCCTTTTTGGGTCCCTGTTATAATACGGCACCTAGTATTTAGGGTACCCAAACAGGGACCATAATTGTTGACAACTACCCACATGATGGCCGATGAAAACAGAAACTCAAACTCTTCTGCAAGCTGGCCTCCGCAGCATAGCCATCCAGCCATTTGATGATTTCACGGCGGCAAGCCTGCTAAACACACTGTAGGGATTCAGGTTGCTGGGTAGGATGCAGGGTTTGGGTTTGGTGTAGGATTTAGACATGTGAATGCTTTTGGTTGCTGAGGAACGCTTCCGTGCTCCCCCTGCAGCACAGGGACGCCATCTCTTTGCGAAGAGCAGGTGGTCGTCTGACACCACCCTACGGTTGATGATATAAATCCTGCATGACCCATAATGAGGAATATACCATAATTCCCATGTTGATGATATAAATCCTGCATGACCCATAATGAGGAATATACCATAATTCCCATATATTCCTTATTCCGGGTAATGCAGGATTTATATCATCAACCCTCGAACCAAAGCCTCGAAAAACCTTTCGAACGCCTGCGCCCTAAACATACAGAGACCGAAACCCCCCAAGCAACAAAGCCGACGCCCAAAGCCGCTCCGAGGATGGAAGCTATTACTTGGGGCTACGGTTGTACGATTTAAGACTGAAGGTCCGGGAGTTGAGGGTTCAGGAGCCGCGGAGGGGTCGAGCTGAAGCAAGGTCAATTGCAAACCCGACCTCCTGGCGTTTCGTTGCAACAAGCTTTTGGAGGGCTTACGGTACGACGATTTCTCGCGCCACGAAAGGTTCTTCAAGCTTACCCTGACTAAACGAACCAACCCGTAGCGGCAACGCCTCATGTCTGTAAGCACCTCTCAATGGATCATTGGACTTTGTGAGTCGGGTTTTAGTCGGGGTCAACCCTACACTTCTTAATAATAACACAAAATACCCTCACCACAGCACTTGTAACTTACAACCGTTATGTAATCATACTTTCTAAGACCCCCTGTGATGCTATCAACACCCTTGAGAAATCGCCTCCTCGAAGTTGTGGCCAATGTCGCCTGCTGAGCTGCAAGACCGGAAGCTCACCCTGGCAAGTCGATGAGGTCAAGAACTCTCGGGTTTGGGGCTTGAGTTTAGGTTTCTGGGTAATATAGAGAATTTCATAATTAGAATACGGTTTGGGTTTCTGGGTTAAAATAGAGAATTTCATAATTAGAATACGGTTTGGGTTTCTGGGTTAATATAATATAGGGACCTTCACAATTAGAATACGGTTTGGGGTCCCATCATAGTATACTTGTAATAAGGAGCCCCCTAAATAGTCTTGGTAATTATCTAGGCCTATGGTAGGCTTTGGGGTTTGGGTTTAGGTTTCTGGGTTAGGTCTGGGTTTCGGGTGAGTTTAAGCTTTTGGGATAAGGTTTGAGCTTAGGTTTGGTTGAGTTTTCAGGGCTTACATTCCATGCTTGGAAGTTAAGGATTTGCAGCAGGTGGGGTTTAGGTTTTGGGCATCTTCGGTCCATGTTCTGGCTAGGGGTCATGGAAGCTCGAAAGGGGGAGGTTCAGGAAACGGTGCCCTGCGGTTGATGATATAAATCCTGCATTACCCATAATCAGGAATATACAATAATTCCCAGAGTCTAGGGTCATTAATAAGTGCAGGACGTATATCATCAAGCGTAGTAAGTAGTATAGTACAGCACACAGCGGAAACAAATCCATGCGAAGGAACCGATCTCAGAGGCAGGTACAGAAAGTGCTATGCATACCAGGGAAGTAGTGTCAAGGGGGTGTTTTACCCATGCAAAGGAAAATATTCGCCAAAGACGACGAAAACCGCACCGAGCCGCGTCGAGCCATACTACTCAAAGACACCGCAAGTGCTGTCAATGCCACGCATAACCCCCAAAAAAGCACACAAGCAAAACTTAGGATAGGGATATCCCATATAACCCCCTCATCATGAAGCCTATTTAATAAGATAGGGATATCCCTGTAAAAATGCATATACTTTTTGCTTTTTGGGGTCCCTAAGTCAATGCCAAGCAAGTTTCGCTGCCCAGTCTCAATCCCCGAAGCCGGGCGAGCGGCAACGGCTAAAGGAAACCCGATAAAATCCGTTAAACCTTAGAAGGGCCCCCCACCCTGTAATAGTGGTATAATAGGAATATAATGGGGCCCTACTATAATCCTTATAGTCACTATTACAGGGTGGGGGCAGCTTCTAAGTTAAACTGCAAACCCCAATTAAAGGCTCAACCCTGCACCCCGAGTTTAACAAGGGTCGGAAAACCCAATCAAACCTCAAACCCTGACCCCAATCCCCTTGCTCCTCAACCCCAGACCATAATCCGCGAGGAGCTCAAACCCCTGAACTCTCCATGCCTGGACTGCGATCGGCGACGTGCCGAAGGCGACGAAGAGCGCCGCCGAAGGCAACCGCGGCCCTGTATGTATTTTGGAATAGGCTTGAGGGGTTTATGTTTGAAAGTGTGAAGGGCCTTTCTGTGGAGGGTTTAGGGTCCAGGGGGTTTTGAGTTGAGGGTTTGGCGTTTAGAGGCTACTTAAGTTTCAGGGTTCAGCTGGGACATGAGATCCTCATGATTCTGCGGGAGGCGGCCTGTTCAGACATCCTTCAACCAGAGCACGTCACTGGTCACCCGTTTAAGTTGGATGTTGCAATGTCTGGCAGCGTCAGGGGGCGCTTCTTGTCAGCACAGCTTCATGGCTTCCGGCATCTTGATCTTCGCCGCGAGACGGTTCATCAAACTCTTGGTCATGCGCAAGCGCATGTGGCTTGGGCCCTGCGATCAAGGTGACGACCTCACAACACACCTGTTGCGCAGCCAGAAGAATCAAGGGGTGATCAGTCCAGGTGGCAATGACATGACAGCACGGCTGGCTTGCCCGATGGCCCTGAAACTTCTGCCAGCACTTTCTGATGGTGATCCATTGACTTCGCCAAGAGCCCACCCAGATCTGTTTGCGGCAGTTGCTTGCCGCTTGCAAGGTCAACCACGGTAAAAATCAGTAAGGGTATCCCGGCGTAGCCCCTATGCAACATACCCAATCCCTCCAAATTTCTAAGGCCCTCCCACCTGGCGTCCTCGAGCATGAAAATACCCTGACGATCGTGCATGGTATTCCTGCCAACGATGTTGCACCCATCCTGGAAACTCTACTTAACCTAGAGGCCGTAATGCTAGAGAAGCATTTTGGGTATGTAGGGAGTATCGGGGGTACTGCTACTACTACTACTACTACTACTACTACTACTACTACTACTACTACTACTACTACTACTACTACTACTACTACTACTACTACTACTACTACTACTACTACTATTGTTTTTACTACTTAAAACTGAATATTCACTCCTCCTTAGAGTCCCAACTCCCAACACGACTTCCTGCTTCGCACATCTCGGCGAGATTCATCTACCGGCCCGGTCTCGGCCCCTGATCCGACGTTCCCAGAGACTCCAATATCCCGTCATCTATCTGACTATCTACCAGGACATGTATCTATCCGTCTGTCTAACTCTTTGCTCATCGATCTACCTATCTGTCTATGCATCTATCTATCTGCCAACCGACCTATCTATCTAACTATCTACCTATCTGTCCATCTGTCTATCTGCACCTGTCTCCTGTGTATCTATCATCTGACTATATCTATCTGTCTACCTGGCAGTCTTTCTATCTGTCCCTCTATAGAACAATCTAACTCTCTCTATCTCTGTTTCTGCTCTAAACCCTAAACCCTAAAGTCAGGTGTCGGGGTCAGCAACGTGTCCAGAGACTCCAATATCCCTTAATTCAGAAATATACCTTAAATTATAGTAGAATCCCTTACTGTATATGATTTAAGGATTATTCCTTGATTAAGGGATATTGGAGTCTCTGGGAGCTACCCTTCCTGCCGAATCCCACAACTTTGCCAACGCAGAAGTGCAGCACCGCTCTGAAGTCGTGTTTTTCTGGGTTGTAGTTTTGGGGCTCTGAAAAGTATTTATGAATAGGTACCTCTATAGGAGCCATAAGGGAAATTAACAAGTTTCCCAAGTTGCCACCTAGTTTATGACGCCACAGTCTTATCTGCCCCCCTGACGAAAACGACACAGTTCACCCAACACAACGACAACGAGAGCTAAGAAGGGTGCACTTTAATGGTGTTATACCAGTAACCTCAAAAACTCCAAAGAGCGATGCCTACTGGCATCTACCGGGGCATTCAACCTTAGCCGCCACATTCATCCAAAACCAAATCCCTATACACGAAGCCCTAGATCCCAGCTGACGTTGCAGGGGCCCTAGAAAACCATAGTCTTGGTAATTGTTTGGACTACTGCATTGATGCCCAGACCACAGATCCCCCTACCCTAAACATCCTAAGCTGTAAGCCCCACCCAGAGACTCCACCATCCCGTCATCAAGGACTATACCTTTTGATTTCGTACATATCCTCAAGTCATTATCAGAACCCTGTCAACTGACGGTATACTCCTTAACTGAAAGGTCTTGGAGTCTCGGGTAGATCCCTGTACACCCTAAACTCGACCCTAAACCCTAAATCCTAAGTCCCTAAATCCTACATCCCTACATCCCCAAACCCTAGATCCCTAAACCCTGAATCCCTGAACCCTAAATCCTCAAGTCCTACCAGCTTGTACACTTCTCATAGCCAGGAAGCCGGTCGACTGTTGCTGGGCACTGGCTTGGGCTCCGGTTCGGCTGGCTTTGCTGCCTCCTGCAGCTGATATCCGACCGAAGACCGTAATGCAGGAGCTTTAGCAATTTCAGCAGACTTTTGGGCTACATGATACTAGAACAATAAGAAGAGAACCTAAGAATAGTATCAATAGTTTTGTCAGGCTACTGAATTGCTTGGAGTTTAAACTTTTGAGCTTAAGGTATAAGGCTTTGGGAATTGGGGTGTGGGACTCCTGGGGGTGAACCATTGTTGCCTAAGACCAGCGAAAACGCACGAAGGCCGCGATGCGGAGATCAAAGCTTGGGCGAGGTAGAGGCTGGGAAGGGGATATATCAAAGGGCGATTGTACTGAGAGGATGATTGGGTATTTGAGGCTCGCACTTGGTCCACTTGCCTTCCGTGAGGAGGTAATGCTTTGTGTACCATCCTCCTTCCTTTTGCAATCTGCGCATCTTTGTGCGCCACTGCTTGATCTTCATCTCGACCGTTTCGAACTGTCCGTGCTTCAACAGAAGCTCTCTGAGCTTCTTTCCTAAGTCATTGGAAAGAGGGCAGATCTCATAATACATCTCCGGTGAAGGTGGCTAGCTTGCAAACGAGGCACGCCCCTTATCGGTCTTCCACATGGACAGCGCATCCGGGGAAGCGGTGATTTTCCCACTGGCTTTTGGCCGGAAATAACGGTCGAGGATGGTCGGTTGCGGATTCTTGTCACTGGATTTGAAGCTTAAGGCCTAGGCTTGGGGGCTTAGGGCTTAGCGTACATAGAGGCACAATACATATATATATATATATATGCTGATTTTTATAGATAAGCCTTATACAACCCTAATGCAACATAAACCCTGCAAAACCGCATTCTCATTATTCTGGTCCGTATCTTCAGCCCTGACCCCTGGTAATCTAGAGTCCCAATAGAGCCCTTGTAGAACTCGTAAAGGAATCCTATCTTCTATTGCCCGACATGAATCGGGTTTAGGATGAGAGGGACCCTTGGGGATATATATATAGACCCTGCCAGCCAGAAGTAGGGTTAAGAAGGGTGCCTTTAAGGGGTCTCTCTAATACTACCTAGGAAATGACACCCTCAGCCACCTCCGCCACCTCCGAGGGACGCGGGCGTCTCTGTGGCGCCTCGGCGGGTGGTGTTGGGACGATGAACTTCCTGCCTGGTGACAATGAAAGGTTCAGGGTTTAGGGGTTTAGGGGTTTAGGGTTTCAGGGCTTAGGGAGTAGGGTTTAGGGGAAAAGCGTTTGGAGGTTTAGAAGTTTTGTGCTCGTAGGGCTTGCAGTGCACATGATCCTTGAGCTCCTGCGGTCTTTGTAACCCCGAACCTTATTAACCCTAAACCAGTGACATATTCATGTTTGCGGTGCGGGAATGCGATGACTAAGTGAGGCTGCTTTCACGTTATTTTGCCGCATACCTGAGTCCCTGAAGCTTACAGCTCAGGAGCGAAAACCACCCCCGGATGCCCTGCTATGGGAGACATTTGGGGAGTTTCCAAAAAAACAGGGACCTTCTTAAAGTACCCGAAATAGTTGGATCCTTATTGCAAGGACTCCAAAATAAGGTACCCCTAATTTTCGGAAACTACCATTTTCGGCCTGGTCTGCCGCGGCTTGGAGGCGACGCACCTGTGCAACGACTCAAGGTCTGGTGCTTAGGGTTGTATGGTTTGGGGTTTAGGGTTTAGGGATTGGAGCTTAGCCTGGGTTTAGGGTTTAGGGATTGGGGTTTAGAGTTTAGGGTTTTGGGACTGCGGTTTAGCATCTAGGGATTGGGGATTGGGGTTTAGGGTTGTATGGGTTTGGGGTTTAGGGTTTAGGATCGTATGGTTTGGGGATCTCGGCTGTTGAGTCGAAGTAAGGTTCTAGGAGTTCTGGGGGCTAGAGGTTTAATGATGTTTAACATTTTAGTGTTTAGTCTGGGGTTTTAGGTTTTAAGCTGGGAGTTGGCATGACTAAGCTTTTAGGGCTTGTGCTTGGGGCCTATTGCTAGGCCGTGAGGAAGCTGAGGATGAAGGTGGATGAAGCCGACCCCCAACCCTAAACCGTGGCTCTGTTCGGAGAGCATTGGCTTTGATTCGCTTGAGGCACACTTATTACAGGGGCCGTCAAAATTAGAACTGGGGTTCTGGGATTCGCTCCAGTATGCTTATATTTTGTTCTTGACCTGGGCCTTGGGTGCTTTTTTACATGCTCTCAGGGGTTTCGAGCTTAGGTTTTCTTAGCGTTTATTAGGATTTAGAGTTTAGGTTTAAAGCTTTAAGGGTTTAGGGTTTGGCCTGGGCTTTGGGGGGCTTTGGGGGGCTTTTGGGGTTTAGGGGTTTAGGGATTTAGGGTTAGTTTAGGGTTCAGGGTTTACTGTATGCTTAAAGCTTTTTTTGGGGGGCTTTTGGGGTTTAGGCGTTTAGGGGTTTAGGTATTTAGGGCTTAAGGGTCTAAGGGTTTAGCGGATTGGGGGTTAAGGGATTAGATCTTTCAGCAGGAAAGTGCTGTGGAAGCTCGGGAAGGTTTAACGCTGCCGACTCAGCAAAATCCTAAACCCGAATAACGAAAGACATGTGTATGTATGTATGTACATACTGAGACATGAGAATACGTAATCTGCACCATCGCACAAAGAAAGCCTACTCCCAAGGACTTTTGTTGCAGCCATGGCCTCCAAACGGCTGAGTCCAATCTCTTCCAAGTCTGCCTCAGGGGCTCTTCTTTAGAGTCTAGGATGCCTACTCTAGGAGCCTTAGTAATTAGAATAGGGTTCCTTTAAAGGGGTATATAAGGGCTCCTATAAGGGATCTATAAGGGTACTAGAATATAGCACCCAGGCTTTGAGGAAGCAGGGTTCGTTTCCGGCTTTAGGGTATGATGAACTAACGGCTCAGACATTAGATTGTCTTCTTCCTGAACCACTTGTGAACCCTTCAAGCCCTTTGAACCCCCTTTACAGGCTGTAGGGCCGACTTTGGTTTGGGGCTCAGGCTGAGAAGTTTTCTGTCATTTCCAGCCCCTGAAACATTGAGCACGAGAAAAGATCCGTAACATGGCGGACTGAGCAATTTCTCATACGTTACGTTTCCGTGCTGCTTCGCAGAAGTCGGGTATAATGCACCCCCAAACCCAATTCTAACTACTAAGGTCAATGTTTTTAAAGCGTATTAATTAGGGCCATTGGGGCGGTCATGCGGTTGACGTTTAAGGTCTCGGATGGCTATGTGAATTCGGGTTGAGGGCTTCGTGCTCTTGGCTTGAGGTTTAAGGGCTCTGGGACTCCACTGCAGCTCCGAGCTGGCTGGAGACGGCCCCGAAGCCGTCTTCATGTGGGCGGTTGTCAAAATAGGGTCCCTTTTGGGGTACCCTAAATATAAGGTGCCGCACTATATTAGGGACGCAAAAAGGGACCATAATTTTGACAACCACCCATGTGGTAATTTGAAGCACAGTCGGCCTTGGGGAACCTTCTGCAAAGGGATGACCAAACACGTGCCCACATCACAGGTGTCAGCGTGTTTTACAGTGATCCCACAAGCGAACTATATTATACTATCTTATACTACATTATATTGCTATATTGTACTATATTATCCTATATCACAACCGAACCAGCATGAGGTGAACGGTAAGACCATGGATTCGCATGTCGGTGACAAGGTCAGTCAGCAGCAGCTGCTTGCTGGAGAAGGCCCCTACTTTAGGGGCCTTAATAATCAGGCTAAGCTTCCTTTAAAGGGTTCCTTTAAGGGATACTATAAGGGCCCTAAAAGGATACCATCATATTAATATAGGGGCCTTAATCAGAATAGGGCGTTGGGGCCCGTGACACTATAGTTATAACAAGGAGCCCGCCAAAATAATGTAGGTAGTTATTGAAGCCCCGATGGTAGCTTCCTTGCGGATGTTGTGCCGATCTTGTTCGCCAAGGAGTCGAAGGCGACGCAAAGCTCGACGTTTGTTCGAATGAGCCCTCGCCTTTTGTTTGAGCTCCCCCACTTTGCCGAATGTCTGACTTGCATTCCCAGAGAACCGCCTTCTACTGACTCTAAACGGAAACAGCTATTGATTGACGAGGGCCCTACCTTCGAAATCCGAAGCCAGAAGCCCCGAAACACCTTTACATAGCCCGACGTTACATACCCCCGAATTTGCTTCTCCAGCCTCTTAGGGTAATGCACATTAGCCCAGAGATTGCATCGTGATTGTCGCACCACACACAACACACAGAGGTGCAAGATGGTGCAACGTGCTGAGGTGACTACTACAGTTCCTGATGCCCTCAACCCTGAAACCCAGAACCCTAACGGCCTAACTCCCAAAACCCTAACACCCAACACCTTGAACCCCCAAAGCCCTAAAGCCCTAAACCACACCGTAAACACGGCTCGGCCCAGTCGCAATTTCCAACTCCGTCACTTCCCGAAGGTGGCGGACGCCAAGGGGGAACTGAAACTTGGAAAGGAAGCGGCCCAAGCCAAGGGATTCCTCAGTGACAGTCCGACTCTCGGGGGGGCCTCTAAGATTGTCAGACGGGGGTTTGGACCTGCCTCATAGTATGAGCAGTAAGCAGATGTTCAACTTATCTATCTAAACGTTTGTATATACATGCACGCAAACAGACTGTATGTATGTATATATATATATATATGTAGATGTAAGTATATGTAAGTATACAGATAGATAGATAGATAGAGAGAGAGAGAGAGAGAGAGAGAGAGAGAGAGAGAGAGAGAGAGAGAGAGAGAGAGAGAGAGAGAAAGACTGCCCATAATATAAGGGAAAATATGAACTACTAGCCGGATGGTTCCTTTGGGGTCACTAAAAATGTAGAGCCTCCATAGCCCGTCAAGGTAGGGTTCAGGGGTTTGGCTGGACTTTGAAGTGACCAGGGAGAACAAGAGTATAAGACTTTTGTTTCAGTGGTTCCTTTAAAGAACAGGTACCAAAACATATTCAAGTATGGGGCTTCTGAGCCTCAGAACGAAGCCGCGGGGCCAAGGCAGCCGCCAGGTCGCTTTCTGACTCCGCCATGGCGGAAGCGACGCAAAAGGCTTTGAAAGGAGCTCAGGGAGGGTGTTACCTAGGGTTTATAATTGTTCCTTGAAGGGTTTAGGGCTTTAGGGTTTTTTACCTACAGGCTTGCTCTGGGTGGGTGGTACATGGGGGTTTTATAAGGTGGCTAAGGGTACCCAAGGCTGTGGACGGCGTCCGAAGGAGTTCTTGAGGGGTCTTACATGGGGTTTATAAGGGTTCCGTAAGGGCCATAATGGCTCTTTGATTTCATAAGGGCTCGTTGAGGTTTCTCCAAGGCTCGTACATGAATGTATATGGCTTCTCTGAGTGAAGGCTTGTACATGGGTGCTTATGCATGTTTCGGGGTGCAGGGTTTCAGGGGGTTTCCAAGGTCGAGTCTAGCAGGTTTCGAGATCAAGGTTCAGGGCTTGGGAGGGTTGGTCGTTAAGTAGGGGGATTGCGGGAAGCTTCGCATTTGGTTGTTTTTACCTATGTCATGCTAGGCTTCCTGTAAGGGTGCTTCGAGGTTTGGTACAGGGGCGGAGCGATGCTGAATTCAACATTCGGCCCAGAAGCCATCAAAGCTTTAGGTGGAGGGTATGTGGGTGGTTGTCAAAATTATGGTATGGTCCCCTTTTGGGGTCCCCATTATAGTACGGCACCTAATAGTTAAGGTACCCAAAACGGACCCTAATTTTGACAACTGTCCATGTGTGTATACTGTGTGCAGATATCGAAGGGTGCTCAGTTTCCGGCGCAAGTTTTCGGACCTTTACCATCTTGGTTGTTTCCGCCGTGACGGAAAGTGGCCCGTAAGGGGCAAGGCTTCGATTTAGACTTTAGAGATTCACGGATTATGGCTGAGGTTTTTGGAGGTGGGGGTTAAACACTGTGAGTGTCGTCAAGACCGCAGCAACAGCAGGAGACATATTTGGTGCAAGGGCTAAGACTTCAGTGAACTCGGGCCGAAGCCAGCAGACCCTCCCAGGAACCAACATGGATCTTAAATAACTCCAGCGGCAAAAGACAGTAGCCTAGCGTTTATCGGGATTAGGGCTCAGGTAGAGGGCTTCGGATTTTCCTCGTGGATCCAGCGCCCAGGGTGTAGTTCAGGGTTTAGGGTTTAGGTTCCCAAACTACGCAAGGTCTGTTGAGATGAACTGCACCGAACAGATAGTATCGTATCAGGCGGGTATGGGGTCGTTGCGAAGCCTCAAGGTTCTCTGTGCCTGTGTAATACGTGTGTATATATATATGTATATGATAAAATATGCAATATAGTACATATATATATATACATGTATGTTGATCCTGAAGTACAGTACTTCTAGCTTTAAGCAAAATCCTTAAGCCCAAAGTACGTACGATACAGGCACCGCTACAAGGACTCTTAGGAAAGGTTTTTGCACAGGTTGCCAAGGGCTTACAGTTTTGTGTTTGATGATTGAGGGTCCTTTCTGGGTGTTTGTAGGAGAGCCCTCAGACCCATACATCCGGTACTAGGGTCCGCCGTATAAGCTTATAACATACATAGAAAAGTAAGTTGGTAGCAGCAAAATCTTCATCTTTATAATGTTTGCAGGTTGTCTTCGCTGAAGGCTAAGGGGTATTGGATCTCTGAACAGACCTGGAAGTCCACCTTTTCGTCCGCGCTGGAACAACCCTTCGGGCCACTGAGACGCACGGTGTTCAAGCGCATGCTACGAAACAAGCAGATAAGAGAGCTCCTAGCGCTTGTGTAAGATCTATGGGGATCTGCAATGTTGGGGCTTCGTTTTCGCGGGTGTTGGCTACTGAATCGGCTGATCCGCTTTACCGATGTTTGGAATACTGTAATCTATACCCCCCTTAGAACCATAAACAAATCATTTTGAATATTCTCTTGGGTTTTATATGAACAAAAACACAAGATAATTCCTAAGGGGACTATAGTAATAATGAAATCAAGATCTACGGCCAGAGGACCACCCTCTGGGTGCAGCAAGCAATCCGGTCAAGGGCCTTTGACTTTGACCATCCGCAAGTTCAGCTGGGCAACGGTGGGATGTCATAGGCCCAAATTCAGCCTTTTTGCCTAAACTCTAAACCCTAAGCCCTTTTGGCATGAATCGACTTGGACTGAGAGTTCAAAGGTCAACCGGCTGAGTTCTTATGGCGAGCGCTTATCACAGTACAAAAAAAATACTGCGGCCTCCATCCATGCATGGAGAGCTACGAACTAGACCTGTGCTGTAGACCTACAAACCGAAAGCCCTAAACCCCTAAAGCCCTAACACTAAATCTTTAGACTTCTTTCCGTAATCCTCATGCATTCCGAAGATGGCTCAGAAGCCTTCACATTCGGCCCAAGCCCCCGCAAATCCTCCTTAAAACTAAGTACTGAAGCCGCCTTGAACAGTTGGAACAGGGGCTTGGGGTGTAGTATACCACAACTATCTATCCATCTATCTTTGTTGCTATCCACCCACCTACCGACCTACTCAGCTGGCTAGCTAGCTATCTTCAAATATATAGATAAGGACCATAGGGGAACGGAATGACCCCGAATTGAAGTTTTGGAGACAGTTTAGGGCCCCAACCTCTAAACCCTGGTGGAGGTTTTGTGCCACTTCCGGCTGTTTCTTCTTGTTGCCAGCTGGGTGAGACTCGTCAATGGCTCAGAAACGGCCCCTCTGATTGGCAATTGTGGGGTTTAGGTTGCGGTTTAGGATTTAAGGTGGGTTTGGGGTTAGAGATTAGGATGAGCTGGGGGTTTGAGGTTCGAGGGTGTCGGGATTAGCTGCAAGTCACATGCAACCGCATCTATGCATTGTGGGCTGAGCTGGGTCTTTCTGGGGAGTTGGCACAGCAAAGGGTCTCTCAAGGGCAAGGTTAGGGGCACAGGGAGCAACCGCGTAACCAGGAAACTCGGCGACTTCGAGCGCACAAGTTGCGGCTTCTGATGCTGAGAGCACCCTGTACCCTGAACCTGCAGAGCCCAAACTTGCTTAGGCCCATAAACGTCAAACCTCGTTTACTCCACCGAAACGTTGAAACTCCCAGGATTACGAAACCCGTGAAGCGGGTTTCCGAAAATAGGGGACCCTAATATAGTAACCTAAATTGTCGGATCGTCACTATAAGGACCCCCAAACAAGGTACCCCCAATTTTCGGAAGCCCCCATTTCAAACCCTAAATTCTGGACCCACCCCTCACACCCTCGGCGCATTTCTACCGGGGCCTAGGTCTTAGGTTTGTAGAGTTTCAGGGGTGAGGGTCGAGGGCTGTAATTAGGCCTTCATGGGCTACGGACTGAACCCGGGCAGCCGATTCTCACTTCGCGAGGGTTGCTCGGGCGTGAAACGAAAGCACAGCCACAGGCTCCACTACCATGTGAAGAAGGGGGTTGAGTGGTTAGGGTCTACTACCCTGTGACAAGAAGTACACTTGTATGTCATAATGGTTCCTTTATGTGACAGGTCCCCCAAAAGTATAACAGTCTAGTATTCCGGAACCCACGAGAGGGAGGATTTCTAAGTTTAGGGCTTTATGCGGTGCTCATGATTTCTGCCAGGAATGCCTCCTTTGAGGAAAGGTCCGTCATTATTCAAGATTTCCCTTAAGGGATCCTTTTAGGGTTTAGGGTTGGGGGGTTCAGGGTTTAGGAGGCCTCTATGTAAGGGCTCCTTTAGAGGGCTCCGAGTTGTGCTATCGTGTAGGCAAAGAAAGAGCTCTGCGCTGATTGATCCTAGGAGCCTGTGGCCACGTGGTGTCAGCCACCTCTGGAACATTCAGAAAACCCCTAAGGGTCCGAGGTACCGTAAGGGGAATACTGCCCCAAACATAATAGTAATTACCAATATAGAAACCCTACATTCTACTGTGTTGGTACTTTGGACGCTTTTGGAACAAGAACAACATTGCGTTAAGGGCTGAGGCTGAGGGCCTTTAGGGCCTTTGGGTTTTAGGAGGTTAGCGCCTGAATTCTTGTTCGGGCTTGGCATTTACATCGTCTTGGGGGTCAGTTTGAGGCCTGGGTGCTTGAACAGAGTGGTACGGTTGATGATATAAATCCTGCATGACCCCAAAATAAGGAATGTACCATAATTCCCATATATTCCTGATTATGGGTCATGCAGGACTTATCTCATCAACAGTACTGCTGGTGCTTCGCTGCTGTTGTGGCAGCTCCTGGTGCTGTTGCTGACACTCTGTTGCCGCCAGTGCAATGGGTTTAGGGTTTAGGGTCTAGGGGTTTAGGGTTTAGGGTAGCTCAGAGTCTCAAGACAAACCGGAACCAAAAATCTCAGCCTGAAACCTATTGACAATTGACTGCACCCGCACCCAGCAACATTGAACCCCACATCTGCACTCGACACGTTAACAAGGGCCAACCAGAAAAAATCACCAAAAGCCGAGCATACACCGTACTTCACATGTGTATGGGGTTTAGAGAGGGCAGCCTGTTTTGTACAGAATTTCGGTTCCGCAAATAAACCTGGGTTGGAGGCACTCTCACCGAACGCGTCGCTACAGTGGAACATGAAAAGTGGATTTTGTTGTACTGTTCTTCATGCTACAAAATGGTATTTTGCTACTGTGTCTAGATCGCCGACTTCAGGCAAGTTTCAAACATCTCGTGTCGTTGGTGCATTGTCTTCTTGTTCCGGTTTGCGGCTTCGGCTAAGTCGCCTAAACATTAGAAGCTGCCCCCCACCCTGTATTAGTGACTGTAAGGGTTTATTAGGGCCCTATTATATTCCTATTATACCACTACTACAGGGTGGGGGCCCCTTCTAACCTAAACAGCTCAAAGGGAGCTGCGGAAGCGGATGTATAGAAGGTATGCTCCTGAAACCTAACCCATAGGCCCCAAAGTAGTTCCTTCTTTGGGTTCATATATAGAATTCTATTAGGTAACCCCAAAAAAGGACCAATTTGGGGCCTACGGGTAACCCCTAAACCTGAACGAAAAATATTCGCAGCCTAGGTACTAGGGCTGGCTTTATATGGATCTTCAAGGCTTTAGTCGAGTGGG